CAAAATACAAAGTTTGAAAACTTGCCCAAAACAAAACTCCCACATGAAATCAAAAATCACATTTTAATAATTTTTTTTAAGAGTCTTGTTAATAAATGAACAAAGTTAAATGGTCCGACCAACTTTTTTTTTATTTTATGTGAATAATTTACTCAACAATGACTCTTATAAAATGAATAGTCTGAATTATCTAGATAGGCCTAAAATGAACTCGCATAAGACAAATTATACTGGAAATAATAGACTAGACAAAAGTCTTTTCTTTTAAAGTTATCATTGTCATATACAAATTAATATATATATATATATATATATATTTTAATTTATTAACGTGTCTTTGAGAACAACAAGCAATAAATGAAAATGATAGCAAATTCAAAAACACCCAACTCAAAATTTTCATATCTTTTTATTGTTGTGTAAAAATAATTTTAAAAAACATAAGAAAATAACTTAGTGTTTTCAAGTTGGTATTTTGTTTTTTTCCTTTCAAAATAGTTTGCTAAATAATTTTAGAATATTTATTTTTTTTACTAAAAAAAAACAAAACATAAAAAAACAAAAACACCAAAAAACGAAACAATGCCAAACACGTTTAGGATAACCACATCGTTATCACCACTATGCTCATGTAAAATACACTTGCATAAATAAATGTAAACATGTCCTAAATGGATCATATAATCATCTATGAGATTTTGAGTCTCCTATATGTCCCACTGTTTTTTTCTTGGCGTTGAATAATTTATTTAAAGTAAATTTAGAGACTCCCTAAATAATTAGTGATGTGTTTTATTTTAGTATATAAATGATAGGGCGTGAAAGTAATTAATCTCCAAGATTACGAAAGAAAAATTTGTCACTAAAAAAAAATAAAAATTAAGAATTTGTTTGTGAGGTGATTTTTTTTATTATTAATTTTTAGTTTTTATAAAAAAAAAATGTATAAAAAAATAGGAAAAAAGGAAAATTATATAATTTTTTTTTACAAGATTTGACCATTGTAATAAAATAAATCTTGAAATTTTAATTCTAAATTTTTGATTTATTTTCAATCTAAATCATTTGTCTATTTTCGTTAAGTAAAATCAATAGAAAAATATGTATTTTAATCATTAAACTAAATAAAAAAGGATATTTTAGACATTTTATGTATATCTAAATTGAGTTTAATAATTAAAATAATATTTTTTCGTCGATTTTACTTTAAAAAAAAGGTTAATGATTCAGATTGAAAAAAAATTAAAATATTAAAATTTAAATTTATAAAATAAAAAATAAAAAATTTATTTTGTTAGAAGGTTCCAAACCTGGAATTTTTTGTAATTGTCCAAAAAAAAAAAATGATTTTTTAACTCTTTTTTATTTTTATTTTTTTATTATTAAAGAATGTTGCTATTAGAACTTCATCAATTATTTTGAACTCTCTATTTCTTTAGACCCTCACTTATAAATTTTAAAACCTTTAAAATTTCTTTTCTCTCTAAATAATACCAAATTTATCCTTATAAAAATATTTTACCCATTTAATTGAATGCTGATCGGTGTCTAAATGTATACATTTAATCCTCTAATATACACTTTATTAATTTATTAATTTGTATCAATTTATAATTTTGTGTGATTTGTGTGTGCTTGTATATATTTTAAGTGTTTATATCTATATTAATATAAATAATACTTTTTAGATATTTTATATATTAATATATTAAAGTGTATAATAATTTACTGTGCACTTTATGAAATTTGTAGTCAAAGAAAAGAAAAGACAAAAGGAAAAAAAAAAAAAAAAAATATATATATAATTTTATTTTATTATTTTCTTTTGCGGGTTTTTCTCCTATAAAAGGTGAAGAAGTGCAAAGCGAGAAAAAGGAAGGAAGAGAGCGGGGTGGGGAGACGGAGCTCAGATGAGAGCAGAGGGTTTCGGCCCAAGGGATAGAGAGGGAAAAAGAGAAAAATAAAAAGAAAGAGAAAATAGGAGTATTTATTAGTTTATAAATATTACTCTATGAAATTATTTTTCTGTTTTAGAATAGAGATGAAGCCTTGATTAAATAAGTAGGATAAGTTGTATTTAGTATTTTAATTTTGATTTGATTTTGATATAGGTGTATAACTTTTAAATATTTTTGTACAATAAAGGTTTTATTATCATGTTATACAATGATTTTCACTATTCTATATTAAAATTGTTAGATGAGTCATATTTAATAAGACACGTCGTGCATTAATCTTAGTTTAACTTAGTTTAGTAGTGGCGGTCCATGCTAAGCGAAAATGATTCGTGGGATTCTGATTTTAATATACAAATCCTCTTAACGATGTATTTCTGATCAACTTACATCACAGTATCCAAATCAATGATATTTTAAGGACTGAATACAATTCTTCCAATTATGAGGTTGGTGGTGGATTCGAAATCTTAAGATATTTATTTTATTTTGTTTATTTAATTGTTTAATTAATTAGTTTAATGTTCACTCCAAATGTTTCGTAAACAAATCTAAATTTTTAAATTAAATTATTCATCATTAGTTCCTGTGGATCGACACTTGGTCTTAATTGCTATTTTACGGAGTAGTTATTTTACTTGGTTTTAAATACAATATTTTGGTGTGTAAATGATCATATTAATTTTTGACACCGTTGCCGGGGACAAAAAATCAAATTATTTAATTTAGAGATTTATTAATTAAAAAAAATAGAAAATAAAAAAATTGAGTTTAGTTTATTTCTGCATGAGAAATATAAACTTGAAAAAAAACTAAAAAAAAAATTTAAAAAAAATAAAAAATAATTTTGATATCGTGATACAGAAAGGAGATATCCATACTAGACATTGGATTAATTACCTCTGTTAGACATAGAATTTTGAGGATAAATAAAGACTACTGACTGCTAACATTTAATTTATTACAATTTATCTTATTCTGTACATTTTTTTTTCTAGGAGGTCTTATACCCCTTTTATTTTATTCCAATTTAGTTTATCGTAATTTTTGTATATTTTTACTAATTTGCAAGTTTTAGCTGGTTAAAAAAAATTAATGAGTTTTTGACGAATCATAAGAAGTGAAAAAAATATGGAATTGCAGCACTCAGGTAAAATAGATTAGTTTATTTTGTTTTATTTTACTTTGTGTTATTTTTCTTTATTTCTTTGTTTTGTTTTATTTCTTTATTTTCCTTCCCGTTCATTGTTCTTGTCAGTCCTTTGTGGTATGTGTCATTGAGCACAATGTTATTAAATGGGGGGGGGAAGGGTTTGGTTTGTGTTTATTTTTATTTTCGTATTTATTTTTATTTTTATTTTTATTTTTGTATTTGAAAAAAAGTAGAATTTTGTGTGTTTATTTTCGTATGTGAATATTTTTTTGTTTTGAAAAAAAAATAGAATTTTGTGAATACTTGATTGTGTTTTTGGATTTTGTATTCGATCTGCATGTGGCGGGCCCGTTTGAGATGTATGTATATGTATATACAATTGTATTTTTATTTTTGATTGTGTTTTTTTTTTAAAAAAAAAATCACAATTTCAAAAAAAAAAAAATTTGCTGCTGTGTTGTTAAATAAAAAATATAAAAAAAAAATTTGTGTTTTGTGTTGTGTTAAAAAAATGTGTGATTAATTGTTAATTTTGTTATCTTAGCAATTTGATTATATCTTAATTTATTACACTATATTTTGATTAAAAATATTTTTTTTAATCTTATATTTGGGTGATTTGCACATGCACATAACCGTTTAAATAATCTTTGATTAATTTTTAGACTTAGACCTGAACATCTTGATGATTAAAGTGAATACTTGATATGGTCGTTTGCACACTAAAATATTCTATTTAAAATTAAGTAATAACTATTATTCCGAAGTATAATAGTTAAGATCAAATGTCGATCCTCAAGGACTAATCGAGTTAGTTTGATACAAAAATAATAATTAAAGTAATTTAAGAAAATTGATTTTGAAAATAGTAAAACTAAAATTAATAAAACATAAAATAAATAAAATAAGATAAGAAATATTTCAGGGTTTTGAATTCACTACTAACCTTATAACCAGGGGTTCTTGTATTAGTTTTTAAAAAATCATTAATTTGGATAAAATGATGTAAGTTGATTAGAAATATATCGTCAAGATGATTTGTATATTAAAATCAGAAAGTCACGAATCATTTTCGCTTAGCACGGACCGCCATCACTAAACTAAACTAAATTAAGATTGATGCATGACCCGTCTTACTTGGTATGATCTGTCTAACAATTTTAATATGCAGTGAAAACAATTATATAACATAATTTGAATAAAACACTTATTGCACAAAAATATCTTACAATTATACAATTTATCCGAATCAAATCAAAATTAAAAATACTAAATACAATTCAGCCAAATTACTTGGTCAGAACTTCATCTCTACCTTAAGAAAAAAATATTAATTCCTAACACCCATATAACTACCACACTCTAATATATACAAATCACACTCTCTGACTCTCTTTCTTTCTTTCTTAGCTTCCTTTGGCCGAAGCCTCTGCCTCCCTCTTGCTTCTGCTGATGCCTTCTTTTATAGGCATAAATCCTCAACAATAACCTGCAAGGCACAAAAGTAGATTATCTATAACCTATATAAAAAGAACGTAAGAATGGTAACGTTAGGGCTTCTTGGTGTAGCTCTGTTGCTTCTTTGGTTTGTAAAGCAGATTTGGGCTAGCTACGTGGCCTTCAACTTAGCCACACACACGACAGCAAAAAAAAACAAATTCCATCATTCCTCCTCCAAATTCCTATTTCTTTCCTACTCTCAACTTGTGAAGCGGCGGAAATTGATTTCTCTTAGAAGATTCATTTGTTTAGTGCACCGGTTGGATAACAATTGCTAGCATTCAAGCAATATCGCCTCTACAACTACCAAAACTTCAGCTAATTTCTTTGCTTGCTCAACTACTGGAAAGATTTCTAATGTGTTGCAAAAGAGAGTCGGTTGGTCGGTGCACAAAGCCATGTCTATATATATATATAGATATGTGTGTATACTCTTTGTTCTGTTTTGCTTCTTGTCTTGGTTCAACTTCTTTGTTTCTCGGTTCATATATTACTACCCCAAATCCACAATCGGGTATGTAATTTAGAACTTTTCTACTCCTTTTCCTTCTATATATAGATATATTGACATCTGATTTATATGTCTCTGTTTTCATGGATACCTGTTAGTGCATGGACAAATTAGGCACACCACCTGCTTGACAAAATGCCTAAACCCTAATGTTGTGTTTGGTTGGGGCATTTGGAGAGGGATTTGGAAAGAGAAAGGGAAAAAGTGTGTGAAACTATGTGAAATGTAAATATATTTTTTTCACATTTCACCTACCTTTTTCATTTCTCTTTCCAAATCACTTCTCAAATCCTTCAACCAAACACAACATAAATAAACAAGTAAATGAATAAAAACATATCTAGACCTTTAAACTAGTAATATACAATTGAAATTTAAAACTAAAAAATAAGCCCGTATAAGGTTTTCATTACAAGATTTAGATTGCTCAGTTTGTGAATTTGTAGGACTGCCCAACCCATCCCATTTATTATTAATTGGTCAAGAATATATTGGTGCTCCTAGGAAGACTTGAAGTTTGAACTCTTATTACAATCTTAGACATACAATGATACAAGAGATTTTGCTAATTATGCTATTCTTTATCAAAAACTTTCTTTCATTCATTGTGATAAACAAATTTCACCTATTGAAATCAATAATATAATGTTAAAAATCTAAAGTTCTTCAAAGCAAATGAGATCCCACGAGACAATTAATATCTATTAAAGAATGAAATTCAATAAACCTATCCAAATGCCAATTTTTGCAGAACTTGCACCCGTGAAGTGAAATAGCATCAAATTTTGCTGAAAAACAACTTTAATTCTTGATCTAATCCTCTTATTATAAGTCCAATGTGCAAATTTGCAATTAAAATTAAATGGCACATATTAAGATAGAAAATAAATAACGACAGACAAAAAAATAGAGTTGTCTACACACCTAAAAATTCATACTATGGGTGTGTTATAACACCTGATAATATGCCTGAATATGCAGACTAAAAAATTAGAGGGCTTCCCTAATTGAAAGCTCACTAACATAATCGTGTATATATATATATTCAACCATTACTTGCAATAAAACCTCGTCTATGCTAAACAATACAAAATAAATTCAATCTATGAGAGCCTTTGTTGTGAGTTAGAGCTATAATGCTTGGTTAGGTAAAAGAATTTGCTAATCTATTCCCGAATCTCCACAAACAAGAGAGTAAGATGATTTGGGTATTTGAGGTACTTGGAAGGATGTTTTAATGCTTCTTGCTTACAGTTCAATATTTTGCTCTATTAAATATTGAATTGGGTTCTTGTAGCATGAGTCTCAAGATCATTCACACAGATGTTAACTTTGTGAGTCTCTTTTCACATTAAATATTGAATTGGATTCTTTGGGTTCTTATGTGTTTTCACGCCCCTTTTGAGACCTCAAATTGGGTTCTTTGGGTTTCTGTGCTTAACTAAGACTGGTTTAGTTACTTTTAACGTGAGTTGCATTTGATAATTCACATCTCCACTGGTCAATTTATTATTCCTATCATTTCACTTTTGAAAAACCAGTGTTGATGCTTTGTCATTGCAGTCCACCTCTATTACAGATGTTTTGATTAGTTAAGATCTCAAAAAAAAAAAAAAAAAAAAAAAATAAAAGAAGGGGCGGGGGGAGAAAAAAAAAAAAAAAAAAATTCTTGTTATGAAATGCAATGTTTTTCCAGCCTTTGTCTATTTATGTAATGATTAGTAGATTAGCTTGTTTTGAAAGGTTAGTCAAAAATGTTTTTTTTTTAATTGTTAAATAAGAGTTATATTTAATATTTAGAGTTGGATTTATTAATATTGAGATGGGCTATAAGTTGATGTTTGAGAGTTGAGAGTTTCAATTAGTTCTTGCTTTCAAAATTTTGAACAATTGATAGATGGATTCTCAATAGCTTCATCTTGGGACAGGATGAGACAAATTGTGGGGGATGTAATTTTTTTGTACAACTATCAATATTACTTCAAAAAGAGAAAGGAGTATTCTGTGCAAGTTGAAGGGACTATAATAAGAATGGAGGGCCAAAATGTCACAGATTGGATGTGCAAAGAAATGACACGATGGCTATCTACTTATTGAAAACAATGCATCATTGAAATATCAAATGAGGGCAAAGTTGTGTTAGCTGATTAGGATAATGATGCTCTTCTTTAAACTAGGAAATGCGTAACTTTAGTGTTTTGATTTTTAGGAACTTTTTTCTTTCCTTGATAAGTAAAACTTTTAAGAACATTTTATTTTAAATTTATAAGAACAAATTTTTGGTTAGGTGGAATTACGAAATATTTTTTGTTATAAAGGAGTTGTGTTTCTTACTATATTAAGGGAAAAAGTGCATATATTTTGTAATTGGGGTTTTTTAGAAAAAAGATTGTGGTGGTACCAAAATTTTAAATTTTACGAAGCATGATTGGATGAGAAACTCAAACATACAGAATTTTGTAAGCACATATGTGCTATTGTAAAGCTATTAGAAGTGGTGTCTAAAGAATGTGATTTTGGTAGCTATTAGAAGTGGTTCCTAAGAATGTGATTTTGGTATTTTGGAAGTCCTATGAACGGATGGCATCAGCATTTCTTGTGTTGGAGTAGCAGTTGTAATTAGGGCTGGCCCTGAAATTTAGCGGGCACAAGGCGAACTTCAGAAATGGGGCCCCTATTATATTGAAAAAAAAAATTTATGGATAAAACGATAAGTTATAACAACTTTTTTATTTGTTTGTAGCACAAAAAAATTTACTTGCACATATAATCATTAAAATTATAAATAAAAATTTACTTTCATATATTAAGATAAGAAGCAATCATTACAAATACTCAATTGAGATTGAATAAAATTTTCTAATTTTTGTTTCTTTTTCCTGTTTTTACATCCAGAAATATACTTCCTAGGAGGCATGACTACCCTATATAATAAAAAATCCACACAAATCCACAATCACTGATCTCTACCAATAATATATTTTTAGAATTAGAGCACAACAAAAATTATAGACTTCCACTAAGGCACATAAATTAGGTAATTTTCTAATTTAAAGAACAAATTATATAGGGCAAGAAATTAGGGCAAGAAATTAGGGCAACAACTTCATTTAAATGTGATATATATATATATATATATATAGAGAGAGAGACAGAGAGAGAGAGAGAGAGAGAGAGAGAGAGAGGACTCACGGTTTTGTTGTCCGAAATCATTGATCGATGATCAACGTTTGCATCGGATATGGAAGAGAGGAGAGGACTGAAGGTGGTATAAAGAAGGTGGACTCACGGAGTCACGATTGCATCTGAAATTTTGAAATTCAAATGCAAGAGAGAGATTGTGTTTCTTTCAACTGGACTTGGTGCACGTGAATTCATGCCCTTGAATTCATTCCTCTCAAGGTGGGTATTATATTATGATGTGTTTCTTTTTTTTGGACCCCATGTTCAATTGGGCCTCTATTATGATGTGTTGCTTCTTTTTTCTTTTTTTTATGGCTCCATGTTCAATTGGGCCTATAATAGTTGGAATTTTTTTTTAAAAATCTAAAACACAAAATTATATTTGGAGGCTCCTATTTTCAGCCCAAATTTAGGGGCCCAAGGCGCAGGCCTCTCTTGCCTGCCCTCAGGGCTGAGCCTGGTTGTGATGTTTGGTTAGAGTTGGAGTAGTGGTTATAGTCTACGGGTGCTAATAACAGTTGATGTGATGGTGGAAGGGTCACAATGGTAGGGTTGATGGTGGCACACTGGTGTTGACAAGTTGGTTACCTTGATTGTTGAAAGGAACATTTGGGAGTGTTTTTTGCAATTCTATAGACATTGTGGAAGACAAGAAATGACTTAATCTTTAATACGAAGGAAACTAAATGGGAGGTGATTATAGTTCTATTATAGAATTAAAATAATGACTATTTATTGGATTAAAGTACTTTAGGACTTTGTTGGTTATTTGATTTTTGATTTTGATAATTGCATTGAAGGTACTAGAAAGATTTTGATAATTGCATTGAAGGTACTAGAAACATCAAAGCAAGGAGGAAATGATATCAACAGAGATATGAGTGCAGGCTTATCTTATTTCCTTGTTTAATTTATTTGATTTATTGGTCAATTGAGTTGTTTTTTTTTTTTTTTTGCCTTTTGTCTTATATGTTGGTATATTTTTTTTTTTTTTTCTTCCTTTAGTCTTATTTGTTGGTATATATATCTTGCTAGCAAGTACGTAATGGTACGTAATGTTTTCATATTTTAGTGTTTTATAGTTATGTGATTGTTTTGTATTGGAGATGTGCAGTTTGGTTCTTGTTTTGAATCGATCGTATTTCTCTCTTCAGTTTGTACTCATCTTATTATTAAATTTTTTGTTGGTAAAAGAAAAAAATTTAAAAATAAAAAAAAACTCATCTTGTATATAGAGAAATTTCTTAAATAAACATTGTAATTGCAATGCGCCGTGTGGGAAGAAAAGGTGGCAGACGCCCACCAAATTATTATCAATTTATCAACACAAAAATGTTTTGGAGCTCTTATTTGTGAGCTCTAATAGCTCTAATGTGTGTGTGAGGCCCATCTAATGTAATGTTTTGGCCTTGTGTTTTTGTTTTTGTTTTTTTTGTTTTTTGATTTTCCACCTCACTAGAGCTCTAGTTTTAGAGGGATGTATCATTATTGTTCATCATCATCATCTTTGATCCCAACTTTCTTATTTTTTCCCCTTTTTTTAATGTTCATTGCAATCAAGCCGAGCGCCTCTCTTTTTATTATTACAAATTTTCTTTTCTTTTCTTTTCTTATTTTATTTATAATAAATATAATATAATACATAAAATATTTAAAATGTATTATTTATATTAATTTATGTATGAATACCTAAAAAATGTACAAACACACAAACTCACACAAAACTACAAAATAATATAAATAAATAGGCTAATAAAGTGTATATTAGCAGGTTAAATGTGTAATATTTAGGCACCAATCACACCCCTCAACTTACACTTTGCTAGTCCTCGAACAAGGCAAAACTAAAAATAAAATAAAATAAAATAAAATTTAGCTAGGATATTTTCGTAGGGAACACGGTTATATTTAGCGTATGTAACTAGCCTTTGAACCCCTAGGTTACCATCAGTGGACGAGTTATTGTCTCGTGAGGGTTTACACTGAATATACTAGGGCTGAGCAAGAAATCCGTATAATTCGTGATCCGATTTGGTCCAGTCCAATCCGGTAGGTTTGGATTGATTTTTTGAATCCGTGGTTCAGTTCCGAATTGAAAATTTACAAATTTATAGGCCACAGATCGGTTCCAGATTGAACTCCATGATTTTGGATTGAAACTGATCCGAACTGCATACAAATAATATATATTTATAGTATAGACCCTCCCATATAATATCATTGCTTATTGCTTTTGTTTGATGCTATATTTAGTTTTAATATAAAGGAGAACTCTGCATTGTGTAATGTGTATCCAGTTTTATTGCTTTTGTTTGATGCTATGTTTATGCTTTTATGAAATTAAAATGTTTTAATTTTTTTTTTGTTATTTAATTATGTGAATCCATGGTCCTAAATCGATCCAATTTGTGTTTAAACGGATTGGTTCGAATTGGTTCCACGATTTAAACGGATTAGATTGGTTCCAATTTTTCAAGAACCGTAGATAATGGATTGGTCCTAGTTTTACCTCAATCTGGACCAATCCAGACTGTAACACCCCGAAAATTGGGCAGGGTATATCTATTTATACTACAAAACCCACCTGATAGACAAACACATATATATAGCTAACTATTCCATACATCCATTTCCATTAAATCCCAAATGCCAAATCCATGCTATTCACATCTCAATGCCCCAGTTCTAATCCCAAGCATACATTTTACAATAAGTATAAAATGGAAGTCAAACAAATAATAAGTTCCCTACAGGCTTACAAATTTATCCAAGAACATTCTTGGTTACACAAAATGGAGTTTCAACTCAACACAAATACAGCCCTGGGCTTACATTCAACAAATAACAATAAAACAAAAATAAAGCCTCAGCTCCAAGTCCTCTCAAGTCAATGCCTTGGCGGAGGCATAACACCTGTACCTGAAATGGTTTCCCCTATAGGGTGAGCCACAACCTAGTAGAGATATACTATACAACATATGAACCATGACAAGACTAAAGAGGAGTATGCTCATGCCGTGCTCATGATAAAATAATTTATCTCTCTTTTTATAAAGCATGCAATGCTGAGATGCAACAACAGATATAAAATCATTTCCATTTTAAACCATATCTATTACATGAATATATGCTCTATGAATCTCTAGGTGAGTGTCTACAAGTAGGCCCTAATATACTACCACTGTCATTTTTACCAGTAAACTGGAAGGCTCGACACCTAACTGTATACTACACAGCATATGGACCATGACAAGACCAAAGAGGAGTATGCTCATGCCATGCTCATGATAAAATAATTTATCTCTCTTTTTATAAAGCATGCAATGCTGAGATGCAACAACAGATATAAAATCATTTCCATTTTAAACCATATCTGTTACATGAATATATGCTCTATGAATCTCTAGGTGAGTGTCTACAAGTAGGCCCTAATATACTACC